CTCTCTCTCTCTCTCTCTCTCTCTCTCTCTCTCTCTCTCTCTCTCTTCGCTCCCACTGCCCGCGGTTCGGTCCCCTTCAAGAGGGGAGACGATGGCCGAGTTTGAACGCGCCCGCAAACTGTTGAACGCGGGAGATGCGGCTAACTGGCCGACGTGCACCCGACGTGCACCCGAACACTCCTGAAGGCCCGCCGACGTTGCGTGCTGCCCCCCCGACCCCCCCCAAAAAAAACAGTGTATCTTCCCCTGTCCGCACCCGAGATTCATTCCGGGGCGGCACCCGAAGACTCCCGAAGGCCCCCTCCCCCCCGAAAAAAAAAAGGGAGTGTATCTTCCCCGGCCCCTGTGCTAAATTCGGACTCCCCCCAGCGCCCGCTGTTTCGGAAAACACTAAGGAGTTTCCCGCGGGCCCGCCCCTCACCACGGCACGTTTCCCAACACTGGCAACCGGGGTCTCATGGGAGCGTTACGCGAGACCCGCTACACGCTTCAGGAGTGTTAAGGATAAAAAAGCAGGGAAGGACAGCTCGATGTTAGTCCAGTCATTAAAGGTGAGGCGATAGTCCCTAGGGGGCCCCTGTGCGGACGGATTAGCTTGATTCCCCCCCAGTGCACCTGAGCAACCCACCCCCCACGCTCTCCTCCCTGCCAGTCCTTGCAGAAGCTGGTGAGAGGTCGTTTGATATCTTGTGCAGTCTGAAAAATATCCAGTTGGGCCTTGAGTGTATTCTATCTGTTCATCAGTTCTAACTGGATCTGTTCCTTGATTCGTTCAGCAAGTTCTGAACTTTCCGCTCTGACCCCTTCTAGATTGAGCAAGCAGCGCTGCCACCAAAGGGCCCAGGGGACCAATCGTCTGCCTAGTCTATACCAGTTTTCCATAAAGTTGGACTGTTTAGCGATCATTGGACAGTGTCTGGTCACGCTGGACCCGGTTTCCAGTAGGTGCAGCTCCCCACCAATAGAATGGAGCCAGTAGCTGGGCTGCTAGTGGTGGATGCTCTCATCACCATCCCTAGCAGTTCAGCCGTTTGTTTTAGGAAAAAAAAAAAAAAAAAAAAAAAAAAAAAAAGGATCGCTTGCCACGACCATGGCCAGGACACATCTGGCATCATTTTCCGCCATATTCTGTCCCACCAACGCCATGCCAGTAAAGCAACTGGGCACTGCATGAAGATATGTTCAATGGTCTCGTTCCACTTTCGTGGAGGGAAGGCGTTTAGGCACCTCTGGCACCAAGGTAGCGCAATTCCTTTCTGTTCCAGACCCGTGTGGTCAATCAGCCAGGCATTAGTGGGGAGGCAGCGATGAGCAATCTGCCATTGCAATGAGGTGATCTTAGCTGGTCTGACCTTGCCGTTGTTAAACCATCTAATCGGTGTAACGAGGGATCGATCCACATTGAGGTGTCGGGCCCATCTGTCATTTATCTGGTCTCGCAGCGGTTGTTCGGGCCAGAGCATTCTGTATGTGGCCTTGACTGTCAGGCCACGGAGATGAGTTGTGCAGCTTGTGCTTCCTGACGCGGGACCCACCCTCCCTGTGGACCTCCATTTCCATTCCTGTGGGTCCAGAGGTGGTTCCTGAATAGGTGTTCGAGGCTGGAAGATGAAAGGGCCTTCTTCCTCCTCAAGCATGCGTACTCTAAAGACTTCCGTTTTGTCTCGGCACTCAAATGGGCTGCGGGATCTCGTCAGCTCATTCCTTGGGCATATGGTGTAATATTCTACCAGCATGTCTGATGCCCTTATCATGTGGAGTCTACCTATTCTGTTTAAATCATTCGGGAAGCCAACCCAATCCCCTTCCATCAGCGTACCGCCCCGTTTGAGAATCCTGTACCATGAGAGAGGGATTGCTTCAATGATTGTGTCCATGTGTCTGTCTACATGGTGACAGTAATGAAGGGTGCCCTGCATCTGGGAGGCCGTCTTTCTGCTGGTCCCATAACTGGCCTACACGGAGCATTTCATATTTCTTAGGTTTTGGTTTTGTGCGTATACTTGCTGTTTGTTCTCTTGACCCATCTTTCTGCCTCCTTCGACTGATTATCAGCCTAGAGTTCCAATGCCTGCCATGTCACCTGTCCCAGTCTTTGGACAGACGTTCGTTTGTTGACAGTCTACGTAGTTTTGGTTTTACCTTTCCTCTTTCTCCTGTTCGCTTCTCGCTGGGCTGTAGCAAAGCTCCCGACCGCATATGCTACTGCGGATCAGAATATGAGGATCTCATTGGCATGTGACCTATCATGACCGCCTTCACCTTGCATGCCATCGTGTACATGAGACCGCTGCTACTTCTGTGTTGGTTACGCACTTCCCTGCGGCTCTCTATGTTGTGTTGACTCTTATGTTGTTTTCGTGTGTACATTGTTTTTCTTCCCCCCCCCCCTGTTTTATCCCCATTTTATTTCTTTTCAAGATGGTGATGGCCTCTTGAGATATCATCATTGAAGCTGACCAGCTCCAGGTAATGCAAAATTATGTTATTCTAGGCATCTGATTGTATCAAGATTGGAATTTGAGTCTGTGTTTCATAAGTTTGTGGGTGTACCAACTGAGCTAGGCTCGTTGGTTTCGTGTGTGTACATTGTACTGTCAGTCGTGGCTCAACGCTCCGACGCGCGTACTGCGCTGAATCACGATGTGAGCCTGTCACTTGTCACCAGCGGCTATTCCTTGCACCCAGATTGCTATAGTCAATAGCAGATTAGACCGTGGCTATGCTAACTCAGGGCAGATGCATCGGAAGTCCACGTTGGGGGGCACGGACTTCTTGCTCTCTTCAGTGTGGACTGGCAGATATGGTTGTGGGCGTTCTGTAACTGATTTCATATTCTAAGAATATGCGCTATAAATTGCAGTGCTAAATGGGAACGGTGGGCTCGGACATTGACAGGACTCTGAGCACGCAGGGGAGGAGGGGGGGGGGGAGGGGKGTTGGGAGGCCCCCGGACATTGACAGGACTCTTCTATAACTCTTCCATCTGAGCTCATACCTCGGACTTACATATAAATCCGCCATCATCTTTTTCTTCTGTGCACTGTTGGCCTCGCTCGTCTACTCACGTGTTGAGGGCAGGGCCCTCGCTCTACTAGATGCCCAACGCCTCAGCAAAGCTAGCATGGGTGGGGCAGGGGTGTGTCTACATAAGGACAACTGACGTAATCAAATTCAGATCTGTATTCAACAACAGTGGATTGAAACTCGTTCGTGCTTGTCCTTGGTCTCTACGCACTCAGGACTGAGCTTCAACACTTGATGGGTGTCCCCCTTACTCACGACGTACTCTCTGTAGCACGTTCTTAAATGTATCTGGCAGCAGTTACGGAAATTGGCACTGCAAACTCTTAAAGAACCATCATTCACAGGGGATGGGATAATGAATTCATTGCTGTAATTTGCTTGGAATATCCGAGAAAAAGCAGAAACGAATGTGTCACACGAACAGGCGGTGAAGCGAAGCATGATACATCTGCATGAACAGCCAAGCGCGGTGCTCTTTCTGCTGGTTCGTTATGCTGTTTCTCAGATGGAGAAGTAGCCGCAGCAAAAGGTTTATGTAATTGACTGTTCATGCAGCCGTATCATGCTTCGGTTCACCGCCTGTTTGTTTGACACTTTCGTGCATGCAGCCAAGCTTCAAGTATATCACACAACGCCATATCACACACCTCCCTCGGCTATTCCCCGCATGAAGGAACGGACACTTGGGGCCTCGCTCAACTCCTCACCAGATGATGCCTCACCGTCTTAGGGAAATGAGAAGGACTAGAAGTGTGGGGGCAAGAGGGGGCAGAGGCCGCCCTCGCCCACACACGAGCATATCGGTTTGTCAAAAAGAAAATGGTCTCATCAGAATATATGCACACGTTTGGCACAGTAATCTCGGACACTGCATGTGCAACATGTTCCTCGTCTTTCTGAAATGTTTCGACGACCTAGACTGCGAAGACGTATGAAAACTGCCGAAGCCCTAACGGCATAAAAACAGATATCATTTTTTTTTTTTTGGGCATTCTGTAACTTATCTGTAAGAATATGCGCTGTGGATTGCAGTGCTAAATGGGAACGGTGGGCTCTCGGACATCGACACGCCTCTGAGTACGCAGGGGGGAGAGGGGTGTCGAGAGGGTGGGGCAGAGCCCCCCTCCTCCCCACACACAGGCATCTCTCTCTTCTCCTCTAACTTTTGTGTCTGAGCTCGTACCTCTAACTTGCATATAAATCCGCCATGATCCTTGTCTTCTGTGCACTGTCGGCCTCGCTCAATTACTCACCAGATTAGGGCAAGGGCCTCACTCTACCAAATGCCCGACGCTTCCACAAACCTAACGTTTAGTCTGTTTTCAAACTCATGCTTGTCCTTGGTCTCTGCGGACTCAGGACTGAGCTGCAACACTTGATGGGTGTCCTTACTCACGACATACTCATTGTAGCACGTTCGTATATGTACAACAGTTACAGAAATTGTCAGTGTAAACTATAAATAATCATTATTCACGGGCCCTGAGCAGGGCCCAGAGGGGGAGGTAGAGAGACCCGCATAAGATGGAAAAAATGGGATGCATTGAGGCGCGAGGGGACGTGCTATGGGGAGGTGAAAAAACATCTCCAGGGCCCGGCTATTTGCTTGCGCGTGATTGGTATGTTAGTGGTTGAATTGATGAGTAAAGTGGCTGATGGATGACGGATTGGTTGGTTGATTAATTGATTGCTCGATCGGTTGATCTTTCTCTTCATTGATCTGTTGATTGTATTGTGATTAGCTTGAGTGATTAGTGGACGGAGTGTTTGATTTACCTTGATTAAATCGAACTGGCGTTGGTGGGAAGGAACCGCACGCACGGCGGTGGGTCTTCGAGAGGCGACGAATCATGTTGCGCCACGTGGTCCTCCTCGAGATGAAGGACGGGACGCCTGACAGCGCCGTCGCGGGCATTGTGACGGAGCTTGAAAGTTTGATAGGGAGATTACCGGCCGAAGTGAGACTTGTGGATTACACCTGCGGTCGGGATGCAGGTCTGGTCCCTTCGGGAAACGCACACGTGGCAATCGTGGCGGACTTTGAGGACGAAGATGGGTATCGCGCATACCAAAGCAATGCGGAGCATCAAGCCATCATCAAGAACTTCATCATACCCCACCTCCGGAAGCGGATGGCTTCTCAATTCATCATCAAAGCCTGAACCCCTCCCTCTTTCTCCGAATTCATCATGATGGTGACGATGACGATGGTGCGATCGGGAGTCTCATAATCATCTTCTCACTCTATCACCATGAGCAAAACGGACGGGCGTGCTACTCTGGTGAGAATGACCAGGTAGTTTCTCTGTGTGTGTGTGTGTGTGTGTGTGTGTGTGTGTGTGTGTGTGWGAGAGAGAGAGAGAGAGAGAGAGAGAGAGAGAGAGAGAGAGGGTGGAGTGCGAGCACCGTGGATAAACGGTTGTGATATGTAAGGGAGAAGAGTGAATATGGGGATGAATATGGGAAACTTGTGGTTTTGTATGCGGTGATGCAAAGAGAATGACAAGGCGCGTTATTTTCCTGACGAAGGTAAAGCTAGTCTTTGTCCTCCTGTATCTAATCCCTGCCCGTTCCGAAGTTAATCCCTACCCTCCGTCAGCTAATCCCTTCCCTCCCGAAGCTATTTCCCTCTATGTCGCTAATCTCAATCCTCCCCAAGCTAATCCCTGCCCTTCTGCAGCTAATCCATACTCCCCTGCAGCTGAGTAATTACCCTGTTCTCTGAATGACGACTTAGGACCTAGATGCCTTAATTTCACCTCCACGATTGATTGCAAGGAACCCACATGTCATTGCCTTCTCGCTTTTGTTTCCTTTTCTTTTTCTTTATGAGAGAACATATTCCCTTCTAAAATGAAAATCCACTCGTGGTCGGGGACCTGGCAATTCCACTCGGTATGTACTCAGTCTGAGGCCATTACCCAACTTCGGCTCTTGCTGGCAAGCCGATCCAGCGTCCCAACAGAGGTCGTCCCACTTTGGGACTTCAACTCCGGTCCCTTTTTCAACAGGTGATATGCGTACCAACTGAGCCCTCTAGGCCAGTCTGTGGAGACCCATTGAGGATTTCGTACACAGACCTGATCCCCCCTGATCAGGTCTGTGTACTAAATCCTCCCTGGGTCTCTACGGACCGGCCTATAGGTGGCTCAGTTGGTTCACCAATCACCTGTTGAACCACAGACCCGAGTTCGAATCCCGATGGAATCAGATGAGTTAATGTATCGAATCCCGATGGAATCAGATGAGTTAATGCATCGAATCCCGATGGAATCAGATGAGTTAATGTATCGAATCCCGATGGAATCAGATGAGTTAATGTGAATCCCGATGGAATCAGATGAGTTAATGTACATACTTCTGAATGTACCTGCGGGGGTCGGTTCACAGATGATATGGAATCAGACGAGTACTCTTCTGAATGTACCTGGGCCGGTGCGTTCACACAGATGATATCTCAAGGCCCAAGGCCGTAGCCATTTTCAAAAAAAGAAAAGAAAAGAAAAAAAAAAAAAAAACCGCAATGGGTCTGTAGGAAGCCTGAACTGCCTAGTCGGGTCTCCCACCGTGCTCCCTTGGATGTTTAGATAGAACTTCATAGTAGTAATCAATCGACGAACTGAGATCATGGCGGACGGATACGATCCACGACCAGGGCCTGCTGCGCATGCGCACGAGTAGCCACCTTCTTCTGGGTTTTGTCTGTGTACATCCATTTTTTTCAGTCTATTAAACTCTATTTCTTTGTGGTTGATGTTGTTTTTGCTCAAAATTCCGATCTCCATTAGTAGATCAACTTCTGAGGCCGGGGTCCTCTATATTACTAGTCCCGATTCAAACACAGGTATCTGGAAGCGTCATCCAGCTTAGCTTACAGGCTGAAAGCCTACGGGTTCTTTGCTACAGAAGCAGCAGCTCTTGGCTGCGAAGTGGCTTGCTAACTACAGACTACACTGCCTATGTATGGCTAATATTGTAAGTACACCAGCCTTTTTTTTTCTTTTTTTTTTTTTAAGACTTCTCCGGCCAGTACGCTAGCCTAACCTGTGCAACAACCAAAATTCTAATAAGATCACAGACTACAACTATACTACTAAGATTATCACATCCCTTCCTGTACAGCGACCAAAATCTGAAATCCTACTACTGCTGCAAGGAATGGGTAATACAGTAAGTACAGTAGCCTTTTTTTTTTTTTTTTTTTTGGGAACAATGCTCCAATCTATTTGTGGGGAGCCGCACGTGCTGGGAACCGGGCCCAGCGTCCCATTTGAAACATGAAACATGTTTTGTACAAGTACACTAGCCTAACCTGCGCAACTACCAAAGTCCGAAATTCTCCTAATAAGATCACCTACTCCTACTAAGATCCACTTCCCTTCCTGTACAGCTACGAAAATCTAAAATCCTACTGAACAGGAAAACAACACACGAGGGAAAGCAAGAACCGCTGCCAATGTTAACAAAATCCGATTACAACATAAACCCAGCGTCGGATGGTCACGTGTCTACTGCAACTGTACTTAGGAATCTATTTCCATCCCCTTTTTTTCATTCGATTTCCATCCCCTTTTGTGATACTAACTTTTTTTTTTTTTTTTTTTTTTTTTTTTTCCGCGTTCGGAGGGTTTTGGGCGCTTGTTCGGGTTCGGGCGAACATGTTCCTGTTCGCCTCCGAACGCGAACACGGTGCTATGTATACGACTGACCTTTCTTTCCTTTGTTGGGGTTTTTCTGGCTTATAAACGGTGTGAATCTGCAGTCGGTGGGGTGGTCTTGGTCTGGTGTGGGTTTGTGATGGTTTGCTTTGGTTTTCCTCAAGGGTACCTTTGAGGGCAGTGCTTGGTGCCCACCTGCTCAAGAGGGTATCAGTGTGGGGCAGTCCTTGATGCTGAACTGCAACCAGGTTATGTAAGGCAGTCTTTGATGCTGAACTGCAACCAGGTTATGTAATGCACCATTACATGACACTCTTGCTTCGTCCTCTGTGGCTCTCTTTGTGCGTGGTGCAGGTTGGCCTGTACATTGCGACCTGGGACCCTTCCTTCGTTCTTTGTGGCCTTCTTTGCACCTGGTGCAGACTGGCCCGTACATTCCGACCAGGCCTGCGTGTATATGGGCACACCTTTCTCATGTACTTACAACTTAACCCACAAGTACTTGGGACCCACTTGAGAAAAATAGCGCTCTCATTTACGAGTGCAAGTTTCGAGGCCGGGGCGGGCCACCAATCCATTTCATTGATGGCCCGCGTGGCATTTCGGGCCTATGAAACATGCGCTCGGGGGCCGCCACCGATGTATGGGCCAAGTACTGGTGATACTGTAGGTGGATTATCACCTACAGTACCACCTGTTAGGGGACTTTGTAGAGTGTAGAGGGTTCATCCTCCTGATGTGTCCGTGAAACTCCAACGAAACAATTTGTCATAGCCCCTCGTTTGTTGTCCTCTTCTCCCTCTCCCTTCGGTTTACCGGGCAGCTCTGTTTGACTATATATATATATATAACTCCGACGAAACAGTTTGTCACAGCTCCTCGTTTGTTGTCCTCTTCTCTCTCTCTGCCTACGGTTTACTGGGCAGTTCTATTTTTGATGATATATATATATATATATATATATATATATATATATCGTCAAATAAAACTGCCCGATAAACCGTCAGTAGAGAGGGAGAAGAGGACAACAAACGAGGGGCTGTGGCAAACTGTATGTATATATATATATACTAGCTAAGCGCCCGTGGTGCGGGCCATGCCCGCAGAAACAAGAAATGTAGTAGGCAACCTGACACGGACCACTCGCATAAACCGAGACGGACTTGGAAAAAAAAAAAAGGAATCACAGGGTAATAAAGAATAGCCTAAAACTGGCTAAGAAGTTTGGGTTTTATGGACGAAATAGCTTGGCAGTCCGGGATGGGTGAGTGGGTGAATGGGCTGTCTCT